GGCTAGTTGTGAAATAAATGTGAATTTTGAGTTCAATTTGAGTTGCTGTAGCTTATTAGGCTTTTGACGTTTGCAAGATTCGAAATCAACACCACCAGTTTCTAATACTCATACAGTATTTAAATTTACAACACTTAAAATGTTAATTACACTCTTATGAACTTTAAAATCTACACTTTAAAAATCTACAATTTAAATAACGTGTTAGATATGTTACAATTTATTTAAATTACAACATTTTAAATGTTAATTAAACACTTATGAAGTTTAAAATCAACACTAATGAAGTGTTAGATCTGCAACACTTTAATTAAATAAAGTGTTAATTACACTCTTATAAAGTGTCAAATGAACACCACAGAGTGTTAAAGATCCTACACTTTCATAAGTGTTGAATATGTAACACTTTTTTGAGAGTTGAAACAACACTTACGGTGTTGTCCCTGTAGAGACACTTGCTAAGTGTTATATATAACACCTAAAGCGTTATTTTTAACACTTTATTTTTAAGAGTGTGGGTTTATTAATCGTCTGCCTAAGTTATACAATTCTTTATGTAAAACTGATTTTTTTATTGAGATTTTCTGTGATTCTCTTATGTGTTTTCGTCAAAAAGTTTTGTCCAATGTTAGTATATTTAGTTATTCTTACTTATCGTAACTGTATTTTCACCTATTTATATTTAGATTTTATTATTCAATCCTGTAAAGGGTGATATTGGTCACTGTTGGACTTTGATGAAATAAAATAAAAAATAAAATGAAAGTATTTAAAAAATCATCATAAAACAGTTGCCAAGTACCTATTTCTTTTCATCACGATTGAGAGAGAAAAAAATGTGGGTCTTCGTTTTGTAGGCACCCATATAGGGTGTCTATAAAACGAATACACTTAATTATCTCATTCATCCTATGTTGGTGGCACTACCAAAAGACCGATGCTGCACATATGCGTCACTATACAGCATTCCTACTGTTTATTTTAACATGGAACAAATTTATGAATGAAATATTTTTGTAGGCCCTAAAAATACGCGTACCACTAGGCCAAGAGCCTTACTTTCGTTTAGAGGGGTTACCAGCGCCAAGACGCGCTCTGCCCACCAGCCGTGGACGTACAACATTGTTTGTTGCCGCTTTGGAACTGGAATAAAGAGTACCGTAGCCTAGAAAAAGACGAATAGGCCTACTATATATACGGTACATAGCATGATGTGATTTAAAAACATTATTTTCATCACGATTGAGAGAAAAAAAATGTGAGTCTTCTTTTTTCTGGTCTTCCGTCTTCGTTTTGTAGACACCCATATAGGGTGTCTTATGAAATTTTTGTCTTTTTCCTTGTGTTTTTTGTTTTGTTTTGTTCTTGTTTTTTTTGTTTTTTTTTTAACTTAATTTTAGCTCTGAATCTTTATTATATAGGCCCTATATATATATATTTTAAATATTTCACTTTTGATGTTTAAAATTGTAATTTTGTCTTTTGAATTGTATATTGTATGAGGGGGCAGCTGACTTGAAAATGTTATAGTGATTTGTTTGCTTAAGCTGCCCTCAACCTTTTGGTCTAATAAATAAACTGAAACTGAAACTGAAACTATAAAATGAAGACCCTTAAGTATTTCTTGATATTCCTCATTTCATTCCGATGAAATAATGAAATAGTTACTTGGCAACTGTTTTATGATGATTTTGAAATACTTTCAATAAGATAATTGAGAATAGGCCTAGTAGGAGGTCTTTGTTTTTCGGGTCTTCGGTCTTCGTTTTGTAGACACCCATAGGCCCTATAGGGTGTTTATAAAACGAAGACCCTTGGAAATTTCACAAACAGACGCTCAAAAAATATCGAAAGCTTGATTTTGTGACAGCCTGGTGTATTATCATCAAAATAAAAGAGAAATAATAGGGGTCTTTGTTTTTGGGTCGGTCTTCGGTCCGTCGTTTTATACACCCGACAGCCCGCCGACCTATTTTGTTGTTTATGCAAATGTTCAACCAATATGTAATTTCAATCCATAGTCCCAGTCTCCCATACAACAAAATTTTAGTCATAATAGTCCTATATTTATATTAAATAATAATTAACAAAATAATAATAATGAAATTGATGATGATAAGTCACCTAGTTCAGACTGGCGCGTGGATACGGTGAGTTGAGCCGGGTTTATCCACCTAGTCTGAACTAGGCATCAATAAAGCTGGGCATACTCCACTGCGTCCGACGGTCGTCGGCCGACGCGATTCTACGAAGAACGCGACGCGACGACGCGCGCGCAACGGACCGTTTTTAATGACGATCCGTTCAGCTGGCACCGACAATCAAACGGCGTCACGTCTGGCCCTACAGGGAGCGGAAATGGATTCGTCGAACGACTGTCGTACGACGCAGTGTGTGCCCGGCTTTAACTGAGGCATTTTTTTACAAAAATAATTGAACTGATTACCAACTTTCTGTCCGCTAAATGATGGGGACATTTTTCACCGTAAAGCCCGTTAATTGATGGGGACACTTTTCACAGGAAAGTCCGTTTATTGATGAGGGCATTTTTCACATGAGTCAATTGCATAAATACACAAATATGGAATTTAATTTTTCACTTTTTCCAATAATGACTGAAGAATACTTTGCATCTTAAAAGCTTAGCAGATGGACAATCCAAAAATACCGCCACACTGTAACAAGTGTACCTCCATGTTTGGACTACAGAGATTTATATCTCGATCATATCTTTTTGTTCATATATTAATAACAAATAATACTGTACCATGTGCCCAGTTGTTGTGAGTTATATCGTACGATTCAACAAACGGAATCGTACAATCATACCACATAACTAATGGAGCAAAACACCGTTCTTGTCATTGATTGGTGCACCGATTCATCACCTCACTGATGGACGCATGCGTATACTCCTATTCCATTGAAGATCGTTCGATCCCTGTACCATCCCACTAGGGTCAGCTGATTCATAAGCTAGCCCAATTTTATCGCGATATGTTTTATTTGTCGTACCACCGTACAACCGTGTTGATAAGCCATGGTTTTCGTAAAGATAGTCCATAAATGAGTTGGTTACAGAGTCAGCTGGTTAAACGTTATTGGTATACAATAACATAAGCCAAAGACAGTGTCAACTTTAGAAGGGTAAGCACGGTTAGTTTTCTAGGCCTAGAGCCTGGGCTAGGCTAGGGGCCTAGCCTAGGCCTACCTAGGGCCTAGCTAGAGTAGTAAGCTCCTCCTTATCATGTGCATGTGCCTTCTTCAGGGAGGGAGGTGTGTGTCTCGCCCACAGAAGACGTGATCATTACATCAACAGTCCATACCATATTACAGGCCATATTGATGCAATGATCTTCAGTTAGGCCTATAGGCCTAGGCTAGGCCTAGGAGTAGGTAGGATATTATTATTAATGCTTTGTACTAACTAGGCCTATAGGCCTAGATCTAATCAATCTAAAATAGGTCTAGGCACTTACACTAACCTAGTAGGTCTAGGCCTGGCCTTAGTGTACCACCAGAGTGTAATTTAGCCTAGGGCCCAGGCCTTGCGTCTGTATAGCTAGGCCTTCTATTCTTAATTCATGTTTTACTGTACCTACATGCTTTTTGTCATATTTCTTTTATATGTTGTGTGTGTTTTATTTGTGCGGGGGAAATGTACATCGAACACTGGAAAGTGCCTAGGAAAATAATAGGTGTACAGATTTTAACTACTGCATAATTGCTGTATATTGTTAAGAGGTAGTGGTATCCAAGGCCTAATTTTCTACAAAACCAGCCCTTATTTTTGAAATGTGCAGACTGATTTCTATAGGCTAAAGTTTTTGGTGGGAATAAATTCCCTGTGCAGGTTGTATTTCAGTCAAACAGATGAACAAGCATTGACTCCCGTCATCGGTTAACACTTGACATTGCACGATCTCACTTAAAGGCAGACACCACCCACAAATCAGTATTTATCTTTTATAAAATAAGTGAACACTTTGGCTGTAATTATCATAAATATTAGATACCCAGAAAGAATAAAAATTAAGCACTGATTGACCACCAAGTGGTAGTACCTGACTTTTTGGGCCACTGATCTTCTGTGGACTAAGAATAATTTGCCGATCCAACCAAAAAGGTGATTGCAGTTCCCGAATATGGTCTGAAGTACAATCATTAAGATCCTAAGCCATAAGATCGTTTAAATTAACCTCACCAATACTTATAGACAACTACTGGTTCAGACCGTACATTGAAATAGAATGTGAATGGACAGTCCTTGACTGCCAATCAAACTTAACAACTGACCAATCAGAACAGGGCCAACTAATATGCGCATGTGCTACAAATGTGGTGTTGACCCACAAACTTGTGTGTGTATGTTTTTACACTGCCGTTTTGAGGGACCTTGGCATCAATATTTGGTCTTAGCGCAAAGGTCCCTTATGTCTTCCGTATCTGACCTTGTTTATTGTTTCTTAATCACCTTAAATTTCTTTTCTCCCATCAGGTTACACTAAGCTGTGGTATATATATATGTGTGAATTCCATCCTGATGCTGAAGTAATACAATAACTTTCAAGAGATTATTTTTCGTAATTCCACTTCGATCCTTGAATTATTTAAGTTTTGTGAAAAAATTGTGCAATAGGACATAGTAATCATGGCAGTCACATTAAAGAGTTCCCGTGGACTTGTTATGCGTTCGGTAGTACTGTTTGCAACAGGAGTTTTCTTAGCAACAGTTCTTAATGTCATGGCCTTCCAGAGGAGAGTAACAATACTATCACCTGAAGTAATAGCAACCCTCTTTGCTCAGAATTGGTGGGTTCCAGAATGGTGGGTTCCGGCATTATGTGGATTAGCAGCAGGTACGTTTTTTCACATTTCACCAAATATCGTTTTTCATCTCGCTAGCATCCAAAACATGGTATAAGCAAAGCACTTGGTCCTATTGAAAGTATTAATATTGTATTGGAATTTGTAGTTTAACTTATCTTTAATACAATCTATAAAAACAACAGATATTGTAATTCATCACCGTACTGTAGTCTGTATTGGTTTTATTGTGCCGTAGTTCTACAGTCTAGGTTTCTTTTTTCATTTTAGTTCCTTGTGAAGTGTGTAGATACAGCATATTTAGGCTTGTATAAACAAAACCTGTTATTGTTTACATGCATTCCATCGTAGGCAATATCTGCGATGTGATTCTTTGACCTGTCATATTTTAAGAGCTGATTACAAACTGATATATTTCCTGTAATCAGTCAGTGTCAAAAATTATAATGAAACTATCAAAAATTAAATAATGAATTACAAAGAGAAGAACTAGGTGAGTGTTGATAACCTAAAATTCAATGTCGACACAAAAGTTTAATAACCTTTTGAGTGGGTGTTAACATTGAGTTTGAGGGTTTGGTTTATAACCTAAAAAATATTGATAATAAAAAAATGTATTTATACCACATACCACAATATTTTGTTTACATGGTGCTATGATGTTGAAATTTAGGATTACTTGCAATTTATTTTTCCAGTTTGTGTTGGCATTCTTTGCCCATGTTTGGATCTACGGCTGGGTGAACCAAAACATTTCAAGAAGGAGTGGTCTAGTGTTATGAGGTGTGTGGCTGTCTTCGTTGGAATCAATCATGCATGTGCCGTATCCTTTAATAAAGAAACGTCACAATTTTAGCTTAGCCATTTCCTCAAATGCATGCAGAGTAAATTTGGCCTCACATGGCAAGACATGTTTATTCTCGATACTGTGTTTGTTGCAAGACGTAATTCCTTGAGGCATTTAGCTGAGCTAAATTTGCTTGTAGGTTATCAATATGCGGTTATTGTAAAATGTATGACATGTTATCACAACAAATTATTTTACTCTAATTAATTATGACAGAATTATTTTACATAAAATCTTTTCTTAACACATGTAATAACAGAAAATTGATTTTGGAAACAACTTGCAATTTTCAATGACGATAGCGGCCATGTCTGTTGGGATGTGGTGGTTATTTGACCGATCAAGAAGTGGACTTGGGCTTGGTCTAGGTGTTGCTGTATTTGTCTCACTCTTCACACAACTCATCGTCTATGCAGACGTAAATAGGTGAGACAACTTCAACATTTCTGTCCTGTAACTGGCAATCCTTTACTACTGAATGAATATTTTTTTATTAATAAAATATTTACTGGTTTTAAAAATATTTTTTATGGCAAACTTGAAAAAATATAATACAAATATTTAAATATAGCTTTGAACAAAGGGCTGCCATACTTGAACTAACAGCTGCACTTTTGTTTTTAATCAAAACAATTTTCATCTTGGTAGTGATTTTTTTGTCGCCCAGCCTTTACATAAACATTAAATTATGCATAGTAACCATACAAATGGCTTCCATACTTGTTTACACTGTTTATGAAATAGATTAGCAGAATACTAATACCAACAAGGAATTTTAGTTGAGTACGTACACATATTTATCTGGTGTGAAAATGCTCAAAATATGCTTGCTTATACATAAATAAGCATTGGTTTGAATATCAGACTGGATTTTGCACTGACGCTTTCACTTTTTAATGTGTTTTAGGGACCACAATACAAATATGCTTGTTTAAATATTAACTTAATGAAGTGCCATTCCTGCTGTTGTTCCTACATTTTGCCATGAATACTTAGTGTATTTTGTTTTTTTTTATATGTTTTGAAATAATATATTTGACTTGAATTTTAATGAAACAATTATTGAATAATTTGTTTATATTTGATGTGATGCCAAATATGAAAATACAAAATAAAATGCATATCAAAAAACCTGTAAAATATACAAGTCAATTAGAATTCTCTAGATATCAAATTCAACATAATCATCCTAACACCTATTATAGTACAACTTGTAAACAATTTGATTGATTGACTTGAAGATGAACAAATTAGGTTTGAATTATAGTTACTTAATTAATTAAATAACCACAATGGTCTACATCAAACCTTTGGAATTTATTTCATTCTCCATCTTGTCAGACTTGTCAGTGTACCATATGGTGCATCATGAACAGCTGTCATGTGAGTAAGGAATGTGTGTTGACCTTGAGTTGTCACAAGGTCATCTGGATTCATATTTGCTCATGTATTTTTATTACCTAACATTTCAGGCCATTACATAAAGAAATTATGTACTCGCGTTCATGGCTTCCATGCATGTTCTTCTCTGGAGGTGTCACCGTTGGAAACATAGGTAGACAGCTTGTAGTGGTAAGTTTTATAGATGGAATTTTGGATACACCCCAAATCAGCATTGTCAGTGATCCCTGAGTATTTAGAACAAGGAACATTTTTGTCACATTAATATTTAACTTAAATTCAAGTACAACAAAACAAAATCTTCTTATGTGAGAGTTGCCTTCAGAAAATATTGTTCAAGTAAAATTATGACTTCGTTTTATATGCATTACTGTACAAGTGCAGGCTTCATTATCATCATTCCTGATGATGACATAATTAATGTTGGAATATTGAATCCCAACAAGATGGCGCGTGTTTCAATACTTAGAGTATGTATTATATTTTCTTATCTGAGATTAATCAGTGGACCTTTCGTGCTTCACTTGGTGCAAGGATTTGGAATGCAAGTTCAACAATTAGGCCCAATCAAAAAAATTATTAGTTTATCACACCTGCGCGCATGTCTTCTATGGTACTGAAAAAAAAAATTGAAAAACATTTTTTTTAAAAATTTTATTTATCTATTTTTTTCATTTATTTTATTAAATAATTAGTAGATATTGTTTGCATTATCTAAATCATGCTTACTTTGAATATCAATGCACCAGCAAACAACCCAAGGTGATATTTGGCTTTAGCAAAATAAAAAAAAAAAGCCTCCCTCCCTCATCACTTTTCCTGGCCAGATAGGGTGATAAACTAATAATATTTTTTATAGGGCCTTATCTGTGTTAAATACATTTGATAAAACAAATGATGATTATGATAATTTATGATGTAGATTTTTTTTTTTTGTCGAATTTTCCTTGCAAGTTTTTTTTTTAACTTTGGCTATTTTCATCTTTTGTATTTCCAGTATGAAGAGCAATGGAAAAAGAAGCACATGGATTAAATTTGATAAAATCATCTTTACATTTTACCCACTCTGTTGCCATTTACCATGACCTTTGCTTGGGAAAAAATGAACTCCTTATCCCGAAGATATATTGGAGATATTTTATAGCAGTATTTAATACAAAAGGTCAAACCTTCTTCTGATCATCTGCAAGAGAGTAGAAGAACTCTTCAAACATCTACTTTAGGTCTCTTTGGCCAGAACTGGACTCTGGATATGAAGAAGTACAATATTCATTTTCTATTACGGTCTCCTGTACTTGTACTTTTTAAAGATAACAAGAAAATGAGAACAATTCTGAAATGGAGAGAACAACAGTGACATGTTTTTGCTGTATTTTATTGTTCTTTATCTTGGTCTGGTAGGAATATCAATTTGTAATTAATTATTTCTTGATCATTACCATTAGCATTATAAATAGCCACATAAGGAGAGATGTGAAGATTTTAATTTCTAACATTGCCACCACTAGGCCTATTTGTGTTTTATGTGGATTGATCACTTAAAAAATATTGGTTTCTTGTCCAAACTTCTTGAAAAGAGTGATGGAGCAGGCCTTATTTGGTTCAAGCTCTCTCAGTTTAACACATTGTCTGTCACTGGCCAAGATGTAAGGGAGTCACTTTAAAGAACATCAGTTGCCATTAACTGGTATTAAACAAACTTGTTTTTTTAAATTGGGTTTTCCTTAAACTGCCAGGCGAGAGTCTAGTGTTCCAGCTGTCAGTGTCAAACTTGAGTTTAACATAAAGAAGAAAAGTACTGGTACAAGCATTTATAATGCACATTTTCCTTGAGGTTATGAAGCGCGCAAGTGCTACATTTATATGTGAACTCTCGTCTTGGCGCCCTAAGCAACACCTTCTTTAAGGCATGACCTCTCGTCTCTGGCAGCTAACATGTCAAGGTTGTTTTTCCAGAGAGAGGAAAAGGAACATTACTACTATTATTAGTAATGTGCTATTCCTGTGAAAGATTAACAAATATATCAAGACTGCTGAAAAAGCAGTTGTTGAGGACAAGAAACTAGTTAATTTTATTTGCTTCACCATAACCATGACATGATGCACTACTAAATTGTTTTCAATTCAAAATGTATGGGTCTTTGGGAAGGTTCTTTTGAAACATGATTAGTTAACAAAATATGTGAAACGTACATTATAGTTACTACTGTTGGTGATTTAAGTTGGGCAGGGCTGAGAGTTGCAGTACTACCATGCATTTTTGTGAATTTCAAGAGAATTCCTTTTCACTACTACTTAACAGACTAGTAATGAATTGGTAAAACTAATCTAGGTCTTTTTTTAACTTAACACCTATACAGTAATATTTATTTTTCTAGGTCAACATAATTTAACGTATTGGGATTGAATGATTTTCCTTAGTACATAATGGTAAATTTGCCATGTTGTTTAGGGAATTTTTTGTTAGAGAATGCGTGATTGTATATAAAAAAAAATTATATATAAGAAAATACATAGGTGATTTTTTTGACATTCTAATTTTTTTAACTAGATAACAGAGAAATCAAACAGGGTAATGAGTGTTTTTGTATTTATTTCAATTTTATTGTTCAATCTTTTTTAATTGAGTGTAACCATGGATGAGTATTGGTAGCAATTGGTTAAAGTTATTGATTCTAAATATTTTGTTTATGTGGTATTGGTCTGAATAAAAATACTGTTTAAGCTATAATATGTATGTACCCATGGTGATAAAATTAACAAATTGACCATAGGACAGTCACTGACAAGTAAGGGAGAGTGGACATGTTTTAATAGAAATTTTACTAGCAAAATTATTGTATCTATTTAATATATCTTTACTCACTTTCGATGTATTTGTGTGTTATGATTAAAAACTTGCTTTACATTTGTGATCCTTTGCATGCCAATTAATTATATCGACAGATTTTTTTCTGCTGATTAAACAGCATTTGTAGTCAAACAAAAACAAAATTTCTAATAAGCATGCATGTCCACTAATAGCCAAGAGTCTTAAATAAAACTGGCACTTCTAGGGTGTGTGTGCTTGTTGAAAATGAGAGGGTGGGGAGGTGGGTGGGAGACTTGCATTTTAGCAGTGCTTGAATTGTACCTTTTGCAGCATTTTTATACAGCGACCTACCATTTTTGTCTTGGTTTTTTTTTTTTTTTCTAGTTTTGCATCATGTAGGCATGTGAAAAAGTATTGATACTACAGCAGCAATTTGTTAACATTTGCTTTTACTGTGATAGTCATTTTTTCCAACATTAAGTTATATTTATAGTCCTTTTTTTTTTTGTTGAGCTTGTTAAAATCGTCCTTTTATACATAATAAAAAATACTAATAAGGGTATTGACGAAAGTCTTGCACTAGGTATGAATAAGCATTTGATAGCCCTTGCGTCTGGAATGTAAGCATGATCTTAAAAAGCATCATTCAAAATGATTTATAATTGCATTTTAAGATGAGGAATAGAAGAGAAATTCAGCTCGTTTTGAGCTGCTGCAGATATTTCCAAAGTTACTAACCAATCAGATTGTCTCGCATTCTTGTACTATAGAACCACCATCCATGATTTTTTTGAATAAAAATGTGCAATGTACAGATGAATTAAATAAATCTTGTATGTATAATCATTTTGTCAATGCTTGTCAACAATTTTCCCGTACTGGTAAAATAAGATCCAATTAGACTGAAACTAGCCGCGTAAGGGGACACATTTTTCCAATGGTTAAGTTCAATCAATGAAAGTAGGGTAATCTTATCTTCAAGACGGGAACATCTGAGTCAGTGGTGGCTATAGACTTTTTGACAGGAGGTGTATATACCAACGATCAGATTAGAGCCTCGGTCAAGGTTTCTTAACAAAATTTGTAAGGAAGGAATTGAGCAGAAAATAATGTACCTCAATCAAATGAAAAATATAAAAAAAATATACATGATACCAAGACTTTATTGTTAATGTAGCATACAGTAATAATAATTAGAGAAGTTGCTCCATAAAGTGCATACCTCTGCCCTGTGCATGAATACCAAAAACAATATGCAGGCCGTTTATGATGGATGAATCCATTATTTTCCTCCCTGTGACCTAGAGATCTCCACGGTTCAGCGGCCACACATTGGCTACCACCAGTTTAACCGACTGAGCTAGGCTGCTCTCGTGTAATCTCAGGGGCGCATCTAGAGCTGTCCTAAAGGGGGCAGAAAATGAGGTCGATTGAGATACCACTATCCATTTTGTGCTGTAAACGCCCAAAAAAACCTCTGAGGCACTTTGGGCAATGAATTTTTTCTTTTTCTTTCTTTTTTTCCTTTTTTTTTTTGTACTTTCCAAGAGGCGGCCGTACTCCTAAATGCACCTTTGCTAACAGACAGAAATCTAAAGACAGACAGTGGTGAATACATAGCCTCCTTTGGCGGAGGTAATAATAACCTTATATAGTGCATAATACAATAAAGTTGCCTCTATGCACTTCACATGAACAAGAAGATAAATATCCATCCTAATGCTACAAGGAAAAAAACTAACAAAGAAAATGGCAAAGAAGAGATGATAATCATTGAGGTCAAAGCAAAATAGCCATTGGCTTGATTTGATTGACTGAAAACATGATTTAATCTGAATTAACCTAGAAAGAAGAATAATAATGGTAGTGACCATAGCGAAACATTAAAAGATTAAACCTACTGCTGCCCAGGGGAAATATGATAAACTCAATATCGCAACAATATAATGAGAGTTTTAAAAGTATTTAAGCAGGATGGTTTGTATAAAGCATAATGTTAACCAGTACAGTACATACTGTACATGTTACAGAATGCAAATGATGAATCTGAAAGCAGGAAGTTAAATTATTACATCAACCAATCACAGCAACAAAAAAATCAGGATGTTTACATTTATGACAGTCATAGAATCAAACTTACGAAATATTTGTGTAATTGCCATTTGATGATAGGGCTACATGTAAAAATTAAACATGAGCTTTCATATTAACAATTAATGTATTATGGCTAGGCCATTATAGCTTGATTTTTCATTTGTTTTTTTTCCAATTGTATATTTTATCTTTTTATTAAAACTATTAATGCGTTAAAAAAAACAAAACTCTATTTGATAACCTTTATCAATTTTATTTACAGAATTTATTATTATTCACAGGAGATTAAACTAATTAATTTATAATACCATAGATATGTTTGCAATGATTTTTAGTGCATGTTTTTACATGTGGAAGCAAACTTTAATGAGGGTAAATAAAAAAAGAATACATTCCTTTCAGAAGTACTTTGACAGAAATAAAATGATATGTCATCACGCGATCTCATTAATAAAATGTACATAGACCAATGTAAGTGTCGGTTTGCACTCACTACACATGTAGCGCTATGTTTGCTTCACATTTTTATAATCAATGATGGACGGACATGTCAAAATGTTTAATTTCGACAAAGAATGATTGATGAATGTGAGCTCAAAATTATGAGTAATATACGGTAATAATTTTTTGAGGAAAATGCAACCGTCCCTCTAATCCAGTTTGAACTTCTTTAGGCCTAGACTTTTTTTTATACCTTGTTTAGCGAAACCCGCCGACTGCAACTATTGATGATCTAAGATAAAATAAAATTTATTTTTGGCGAATTAGCGCACACGCCATCACGAAAAAGTGGAAATTTTCAGAAAAAAATAAAAGTTTTTCTTGATTTTTATTATGCCCTTCACTGCCTTGAAATCGCCAAAGGTAAGATATGTATATTTCTTTCTATTATATAAATTTGAAGCATTTAACCATCCTATTTTACATTCACCAAAAAAATTTAATTCCTATTTTTATTTTTTCCTCCATCTGGATGTAAGTTTTGGCAAAACTATTTGCTAAGAAAAAAAACATTGATTTTTATTTTTATTCCACTCTCCTCCTATGATCTTATAAGTACGCAAAATAAGGAACTAAAAGGTCTCGCCTTAGAAACTTTGGTCTTTTTTGCTGTTCGAGCGCCTTCTGGCGCTATATAAATTCCATGATTGATTGATTGATTGATTGATATTAAGTCTAGTATGATAACTGAAACTTTATAAATACCGCCCTCTCTTACTTTGGGGCAACGCATGCGTGCAGCATGCAAAACAATAATATTAATTATTAATAACAAAGTTTCAAGTTATTGATTGGGTGTGAAGGCCACTATGTCCAAACTTGATAAAAAATAGGCTCATTCATTCATGGTTTTGCCTTGTCCTTTAATAAACTGGGTAGCATTTGTAGCTCTTGTATTTTCTTCTTTAAAATGTCGACTCAAGCAGGAGGGGCCTTATTTAAAGTAGGGTGAGTACCTTAATAACGAGGCCTATAAGGGGGCTAGGGCTAGGCTAGGCCCTCAATTGCTAGACGAGGCCTAGGCCTAGCGCCTACTCAGAGGGAGCTAGGCCTAGGTATGTAGTAGCCTGTAGGAAGTGTTCTCTACAGATAGTATTAGTAGTAGTACCCACCCACAACAAACTCGTTCTTGAAGTACCGTATCTGAAAAATCATAATTGATTGTAATGAAAACTGCACTTTGGTAGTGGACTACCTTTATTTTAGACACAGACGAAATTGTTATGATCATCATTTGCATTTGTTTGTACTGTCGGGAAAGTTTGTCGAGCCTTCAAGGGAGCGCGATTGTCAAAGGGACGAGTTTGTAAGGGGAGACTTTGCTAAGGGGAGACTTTGCTAGGGGGAAATTTGACTGGAAACCGCAGTAAGGATTATTGTGGATATGTAAGCATAAGATAAAATCTACCAGTATATAACTATTATGCAGTAAAAGTATTGCATCAAAGGTAATGTTTCTCTCATTAAAAAAAAAAGCTTGACATGGCTCTCGCTCTAGAAATTAAAGCAGCGTTTTATAATTATAAACATTGTAAGGCCTCCAACAACATGAATGAGACCCACACATTCAGAAACATGGACATAAAAGAAATTTAACTTCTATATTAAAACATCATTATTATTAACTTGTTTTCTTCAGGTACTTTTTCTACTCAAAGACAAGACTGGGATATTATTACCACAAAAGGAACATTGAAAAAGCCAAATCACTGTTTACTGATGGCCACTCAGTAACCAAACCACACGAATACAATGGTAGGTTGTAATTGTAGGTCCTATAATATTCAGAAAGATTGTTTTATTATTGGTGAGGTCTGTTTTTATCATGTTACAACTTTCTTTCATTGTGAAACACGTGGAATACAACAGCGTAAATATAGGTTTATTATTTTTGTAAACATTTTTCCTTTGCCTTGGAGTTGTAGTATAGCATGGGCTTGGCCTGTCTGACAGATAGTCTATCCCCCTCTCCCTTGCCGGCACAGCCACTGCTCAACGACAAACTTGTTACTTTTTACTTAATTTTTATTATTATAGTTATTGTCATTTTCAATGTCACTGTCATTGTTATTTAGTACTGGTAATTACTGTTATTTTCAATGTTATAATTATTATTATTATTATTATTATTCCATGTTTTAAAATTTTACATTTTATAACACTTATTTTACAGGTCTGCGAATCGTTCCGATTGCACTTATAGAAGATAATTATTCCTATCTGGTAATTGATCAAGAATCCAAGATAGCTGCTGCTGTAGATCCATCTGACGCAACCGCTGTACAAGTAAGCAAGTTACATTGAATTGAGCAGGGGTCCCAAAGCAGTGGCTGTGCTGGCGAGGGAGAGGGGGATAGACTATGTATCTGTCGGACAGGCCAAGCTTATGCCATACTGCAACTCCAAGGCAAAGGAGAAATGGAAAGTTTGAACACATACCTGATTTTATCGATACTAATTGGAATTTAGTTTATAGAATGCCATACGCATGTACTCTTGATAATACCAAGTTACGTTACTTGTAATTTAGACTTATCCATAAGATTATTTTCACCAATGTTGTCCTGCATAAAATTGGCCTGATTGAAAATAACAAATGCTCACTTTGAAAAAAGAAAGGGGAAACAGTGGAACGTTTGATTTTGGCTTTCAAAAAAGCTTCTAAATTGTGGAAAGTGTGTTAACAGGGTTCAAGACATTAGGCATTACTGTAAACCTAATGTGTGTTTTGGGGTTTGTAACATAAATAAGCAAATTTTATTTGTATGATTTTGCATCTAGTTAAGAGGATACACTTATAATTGCAAAACAAAACAGTGTAACTGTTTTAAAAAATAGATATATCTTACAGAAACTAACCATAAGTATTACATTCATGCTAACAAATGGGAACCTTTACTAAGATAAGAAGCATTTGACTGAGTGCTTTGATTGTATTTTTGTTATCTTTTATTATTTCTGTACTGCGTTTTTGTAAAAGAAATAAAACATTTTGAGAAAGAAATAAAAAAGCCCATTCCGTCAGACACAACTGGACCACAAAAAGTATATTTATACTATAGTTCAACAAAAATATCTTCAATTTGCTGTGATTATTTCCTGATGATTTTCCAATTATTTTTTCAGGCAGTTATTGATTCTGAGGGTGTGGAATTAAAGGCAATTTTGACAACACATAAACACTGGTAAGGTTAGATATTTTATTATTTTATTGTATTATATAGAATTGTATCAATACTCTCAAACAGGATGTGTAAAATCAGGCCTTTGGCAAGTATTGAGTTCCATCACTGCTCTCCATAATCATACATAACCCCCAGGTCCTTATCAAAGGCTTACAAATCACAAAGGCCCCACCATTCCATACCCAAGGCCCAACTTATGCTTGATATGTTACTGTCATTGGTAATGTTTTTTCTACAGCTTGCACAAAAATATAATGTTTTCCAGTGTACAAACCAAGTTCAGAGTTGTAATGCAGTGGCGGATTCAATTGGCCCCAGTTGTCCCGGGCTCCCTACATTTTTCAAAATTATTTGTTCATTTCTGAGAGTGCCATTTCTGGCCATCTAGAGGTGTTGTAATCATAAATTTTCTTACCTCTGTCCCAACCATGGTTGGGCTGAGGTGGTGTTGACCTCACTCTGTGGAAGTCCCTCCCTGGGCCCCCTCTATTTTGAATTCATGGATCCCCCACAGAAGTGCCTGGCTTATCAAGTAGTCCATTGCTGGTCCACTGCAAACATTTTTTGTATTCAGTGAACATAACAGAAATTGACTCAAAATTATTATCCGGCCACATGCTTGTCTGCCTCTGATTTTTTTTTTTTTTTTTTGTAAATCGTCTGTATTTCATTCTTGTATGTTGGGAAAAGCACTTCAAGGAAAATCCAATTTAATGAGATCTCTTAACATATCTTTTTGCACGCAATGATTCATGACCAGTTGGCTTTGTAGAGGCAATAAAAGAAACAAAATCATGGATTTGAACCCAGGACCCTGTGATTGAAAGGCAAGCACCTTAAAAACCCCAGCTCCACTCCGAAATGGGCATGTTCCGGTCCAGCAGGCATTTTACTCTCACACTAGCCTAGAAGAAAACTAAAAACCTCAGTGTTGCCCCTTTAGAGTGTACCAGCAGATATTCCATTGACCTAGATTTATGGCAGACTCAGCTGTATGAGAAAGGGCCATAACCCAAGAATCAATAAGAAATTAAAGATAGTAGGTCGTTGTTCTTTCTTGTTACACAATTAGGAGAATGCAAGGGTCTGTTATTTACTGAATCAAGCCACCAGCATGTATTTTACCTCAAGCATGGTGATTAAGATGCTTGCCCTATAATCTAAATGTCCTAAGTTCAAGTCCTGTCAAAATAGAAATTTTTCTCTTGACTGAAAACAGCACCACACCCTATGTAAGCTATTTAAGATGTCATTGTTTGAATTAAGTTAAGTGTTTATTTGTATAAATTAGTTTTATTTCAGAAAATACATGAACACCCAAGGATTAATTACCCAAAAAAGAGAATATCATTACCTGGTGGCTCTTTTTTCAAAGATAACAAGATAATATGAGATTACAAACCTTCGCCCTGTTGCTGGCATACAGTATCTTTACTGAAAAATTAATCAAATTTAACTGCGCGCTGGCTGGACTGCTTCATCATAGCCCTTATGTGGCAAGTCCATCAATCAGGCACGTTTTTACGCCATCAGGATCGCTTACATTCCACTGGCCAGAATTTGACACATGGTCAATCCACTCGAGTCGGCTTGTTGATTCACTGGAGTCGTCTCTGCCTAGCCAAATGACTCGATCGAAAGATCTGCTAGAGTTGGCTCTGTCAGTTGCGGTTAAAAAATGTATAAATGGCTTGCCACCAACTGTTAAAACTGTCAAGATTATCAACTTTTCTTTGACAAAGAAACTGTAGTCATGATGTGCCTATACATTGTCATGATGGGCCTATATATGGTCATGATGTGATGTCATCATGACCATATTTAGGGATATCACAATTCAACTAGAGGGTGTGCTTGCTTTGCTCGCTTACCCTCTAGTACTGTATGTAAACGTTGCAATTAGATTTGAAGAAAAGAAGAATAGGACTACTAAAAGATAGGTTACATGTAGTATGTCATCTCGCTTAGTTATTTTCTTTACATAATGTCAGAAATGGAGTGGTAGTTCGGTACAGGTTTTGATAGCAGTTTCATAACATCTTTCATAACAATATATTTAGAAACCATTATAATGAGATAGACAGCATTGGTCAGTAACAGTAAATAAAAGTAAAGTTTTACTGTAACTCTTTGAGAAGCAAAAAACTGACTGCTTGACGAAAATCAAGTTAACTGACTGTTCCTGAAAGTTGTCCTTTTGGCGTTCTATATAAAACCTGGATGCGGAAGTACGATAATGTTGCTCTTTTGCCGTTTCATATAAAACCTTATCGTAAACAGTCCATTGGGCAAGCCATGTGGTTGCGAGATATCCACTCTGGTGGAAAAAAGACTGTAAAATCACTATTTTTTTTTCTCACTTAAGCTGAAATTTGGAATTACTGTATATTCATTTTAAAAAATTGAGACTTCAATGATCTATGTTGTTACAGTTTTTCAGACTGGTAGGTTTCGAATCCCAGACATTATCTGAGATCCTCGGCTTCGAAATAAACATAATTATAATATAGATACTGGGAGATGGTTTACAATGCAGTCACATGTGCTGTAGTCATAAACTAGTTAATTTTTTATTTCTTAACATAATTGTTAATGGTCACATAAAGTACTATACATTTATGCAGGTAGTATGATGTTAAAACACCAAGTCATTTTGATATAATACATTTAATGTTTGTTTTCCCAGTATTATGATGTCAAAGATATATACAATGTGATGACATCATTTGATTTAAGACTAAAATAGATAGAATTAATCACAACTGTGTACATATTACATAGGGTTTGATACATAATAATGCTTATAAAAATAGCCCTTGACTAGGTCATCAACAGATTGATTTTTATCAATTAACGTTATTATTATGATAGGCCACATGATCCTATGGCAGGTCAGGGGTTCTCAACTATATTGCAATAGGGGCCAAAATTGTTCATTAAATAAATTTGAAGGGCCAAGGCAAGAGGTTTAGTCTTGAAAATAAGTAACCGCTAGACGCCCATACAGGGCATCTTAACCTAAGAAAGTTGCCCTTGTTGTATATGGAACTACACACTACAGGCAGCAGAGCACTGCCATGCTATTGCGCTAGGCCAGCTAGACCTGAAACATCAAGCGAGTGAATGTGCGAGAGGCCGAAAGTTGGTGTTTCTTGGCTGTTTGCTGCGATAGTTCTTCCGACTTGATTGATTAAATCGCTACAATTTGTGGGGCAATATATACAGTAGGCCTAGTTGGCAAAACTGAATGCAAAATTATTAAGGTTAGAAATCTAGGCCCAAGCCTAATGGAAAGTTAGAAATTTAGCCCTAAGCCTAACATAAAATATTATTTTCGGTTTGTTCTCGTGGGCTGCATAACACACACTTGCAAGCTGGAGATGGTTGAGAACCCCTGTTTTATGGGCTATGATACATTAAGTTATGTGCCCTAAGATTGTGCTAGGAGTCTTTACAGCAATAATACATGGCAAAACATAAAGCATAAAAGATAGAGTAACAAAGGCTAAAATGACATTAAAAAGCCCATAATTGGACCAGAGGCGTAAAAACACAATTGGGGTATTCCCAACCAATGATTGATTATGCAGTAATAAACTTTATTTTAATACAAAAGGTGTTCTTATAAAATTCTGTGTAGGAAAAACCAACTAATTAACAAATTAAAATTAACAAAAATGAAAACATTAAAAAATACACCAAATGGATTGATTGATCATAGCAAAGAATGTTCCCTAGTAATGTTTCCTATTAATAATTTCCTATACACTTGAATCTACAGTTTCCAGGAATAAAGTAGAGCCCCTATAATTAGGGGCACTAAAAAGTGTTGGTTTACTGCTAGGAAAATTTTGTATCTAATGAAAGTGTTATGAACTGTACATAAAGGTCAAGTTCGGTTCATTGCCATTTGTTTTTACAACACTGTAAATAAAAAGCTAAGATATTAATGTAACAAAAACAGATATAAACCAAGGACTTTAATAAGAATTCCTTCGACAGTCATAAAGTCATAAATTGGCTATTCCATTTTTTCAAGAAATGATAACTCTTCAGTTTAATTTAATTTATTTACTTTATATAGAAACATAGAGGGTTGAAGCACAATAAATATACCGTAATATCATGGTAGTATAAAATTAGATGGTAATATAAAGCATGTTTATACTGTACATTAATTATTTTAAGTATTACAAATATTAAAAATTAAAAACAGCAACAGCTTTAACATTTTTAACATTTGATTTAAAAATATAACATATATTCGGTAATCTATCTTTTTTCAAATTTTAGTTAAAATAATTTTGTGAATAATTATTTTGTGTGGTACACCTAAAGAAAACCTAACCTAAACCCATCAACTCAATTATAGAGCACTCACTCACAACTGTGTATGTATGCTAAGTACATTTCATAGGCCAGACATATTTCATCACAATCAGACACCCTTGAGCTATATTGACTAGACAACGATGTTTCTGGTTTAGTTATTAACAGTGTATTTCAGACCTCAAAACCAAGAGTACAAAGCATTATATCCAGGAACTTAAATAACTAGAGCTTAATAGTAGAAGTCAGGATTTAAAGTATAAATTTATTGTCAAAAGTATTTATATACAGACATAATGGTATCCAACACAATAGAATATCTACTTCATCTTTACAAAATGGTTTCCAAGAATGCATTGGGAAACAGGAGAAACAATTCTTTTAAAGAATGATTTCCGATGGCAGTAGAAATGGGGCCTGTAAAAAAAACTCTATTAGGGAGCTTTTGATTGCGCAACACGGTGGCATGTAGAATGAAATGACATCACTTAAAAAGCATATGCGCATGCAAGAATGTTAAGTTCTCTTTGTCGCATGGATATCATTCTAAGACGTAATTTAACCAAATCTGCATTGTGCATAGAAGGTAGGAGAGTCACGTACATGAGTAAATTCATTCTAGCATCACATCATCGCGCAAATTGAAGGTCCCTATTATGCCAAAGAAACATTGGCACGAAATTTCAGCACACCAACGATTTTGGTGCAGTTTTTATCTGCAACACAAATAGTGATCAAGTTTGACCTCATCTGTTGTAAGTCGAGTTACTTACTTAGTTGACTGTAGGGTGGAAAAAACCAAAAATACTTTGCAATCATGAGAAGATTCCTATGCCTATATTAAAAGAGTAGGCTTTGCAATCATGAGAAGATTCCTATGCCTATATTAAAAGAGTAGGCTAAAAGTATTGCTCTTTTATGCACAAAATAAATAAACTAATGCTTGCTTTTTTTTTCTTACTGTACTCTTTGATAGTAGCCACTAAAACAGAAGCAACAAGAGTAGTGGGTCTTTCCTATTACATCGTTTACCATAACCTTCAAGAGAGTTGAATCACTAGAGGCCCTAAAAGTCATTTATAGGAAGAATATATTCAGAATATATATATATTTTTTTTTACATTTGTACATTTGTAGTAGTAGTTTGTTTACATAGGATTTGAAGGTATGCTTTTCTGAAATTTTTGTTACTCCACGCATAAATTATTGGATTGATCACTGAATTCCCTAGAGCTAGCAATGCCATGATTTGCCAAAGCTGTTGTGGAATTATGGCACCGCTGATCTTAGCAATTGATAAGCACCACATCGGTACCCAGCTGACCGTGAAAATTGATGAGATGACCATTAAATTCTTGGCAATGGTGTATTCGTTTTTCCTTTTCTTTATTCGTTTTGCCGAAATGCCCTCTGTGTTCTCCTCTGTAGATATTGAGAGTTGAGACTTTTTCAGCTTACTAGATTTTGTTTTTTTCATACTGGCACTCACCTTACGGACAACTTTTACGTAGCAAAAAGCGATGATCGCCGTAATCACCAAAAAATTAATTAACAACACCGTGGTGAGAAATTGCCAAGAACCTACCTCATTAGTAACAATACACGATTTGAACTGGTCGTTGTAGCCTAGACTTCCAAACCCAATGACAGGAGGTAGAACCGAGGGCAAAGCAAATCCCCACACTGCGAAGCACATCCAGAAGGTTCTGTTTCTGGTAAAGATCTCTGTGTAGCGAGACGGTTTCAGTATACATACGTACCGGTTGTATGCAATAGCAGCTAAGTTTAGCGCAGAGCAAGCACAACTCCATAGTGTCAAGAACCCAAGAACATTGCACAGCAAGCCATCAAACGGGGAATTTTTAATGCTGTAAATAATTTGGGCGATATAAAGTGGGTTGACGATTATAGAAATGATAAGATCAGCGATAGCAAGATTGATGATGAAGAAGTTTATCGGTGTGCTGAGAGTGGGGATGCGCCACACCACAATTAGTGTCATACTATTTCCGAAAGTGCCCAAAGCCGTGTACGTTATCAATCCAATTAAGCTCACAGCTGTCATCACATCGTCTAGTGTATTTCCACTCATACTTCTGAGGAATGATTTATAACTTGAATGGAATCTGAAAAACAAGCAAAATGAATTATTTTACCATTATACATGGGATGCTCATCAAATTATATATCTTAGGTGGTGACAAATTTTACTTTTTCTAAGAAAGGTTGAATAAATATTATTTGTTGAAATATTTTAAAACAAAGTCTGATAATCTCAAAAGTTTCGATGAGGGCAGTATATAGAGGCGGTAGAGTGTGTTGGCCCTAACAGCCGCCCATACAAAAATGACCTATTACTCAATTCCTGAGATCCTTCTAGAGGCATGAATGTAGCTTAGGGTGTAAGACACAGTAACTATGGTTTGTTGGTCTAGAGACATGAATGTTGGTTAGGGTGTATGAGGTCCCTAGTTTAGTTCCTGGAGAAGCCCGTTATTTTTTTCTCTAAAAAAGGAAAAAGCATGGTCAATCAGCCGTGAAAATAGCACAGTCAATCAGCAAAAAAGTACAGTCGGTCAGCAGGGTATTCCTAGAGCTCCTCATTGGAGCTAAAAAACACTGTATCAAAATCAGTGGCATGTCTTGGGGGGGGGTGCGCAGACACCCCTCCTTCGCGCACACCCCTGCAAAAATTACTCTCGCTCCCAGTCGCCCCCCCAAAAATCACTTGCAGATAGTCAAAAATCACTTAAAATCACCTTATTTGATGAGTTAGCGCTCCTCAATTGATCATCGAGTCCCCCTCCCCACATCAGCACCCCAATTTCAAGACTTTTAGATATGCCACTGATCAAAATATGTTCAAAGTACTGTATTCTTCATATGATCATCAGTCTGTCTGGCCACTGCTGGCCAATGGCTTCCTGAAACTACATTCTTGTTTATCTTTGCCAGATTTATGTTGTGCTTATGATGTACTATTCTATATCCGTCTTGCACTTCATTTGTAGAAACAATTCATCTCATACATAAATACAGAGCAGATTTGCAGAGATGATCTTCAGGGCCAGGCCAAACAATTTTGTTGACAGTTTCTTATGAAGTCACCCTGCCCCTTGTGCCTAGAAAATCTATTCAATTTTTGGAAATTTGAAGTGGATAAATAAGTTTAGCACATATTGTGCCCAAAATATATTGTTAAAAATCTGTTTATTTTTATTTTTTTTATTCCAACAATTTATGGCTGATAGGTTGGTGTGGGGGAGGGCTTGGCTTGTCCAGCAGAGTGCTTAAGCCCTTTCCTCCTTTTACTGAGATAAACACAATAAAAAAAAACACAAAAATTACCTGTAGTGTAGTCAGCAGGTCATTAAGATTTTTAAAAATTATTGCCTATTAACAGTCACTAAGATTACCTTTAAAAAATATAAATTATTCACTTACTGAACCACTAAGTAATTTCAGAATATGTTTGTGACGATTATTAATTGACACTCAAACCACAAATGCCTGGACAGACAACTCATGTCATGTTTATAGAACCAGAATTGAGAAACAGAGTCTTATTTTTTGTATCAGTTTCTATGATATTTTGAAATGATGTCAGCTGACATTGTAGTTCGAAATATAAAATAAAGCAATATGAAAGTAAATCAAGAGTAATTTAATTATCTTTGTGTAAACACATAATGAACACTTTTTGTTAAATCCCATAAACATTGTTAGTAAAAGTGGAAAGTAATTATATAACAATATTAGAAAGAGTAGTATTTTTTAGACAGAGAGATTGCGTGAGTGACAGCCTAAGTACGCCATGACCTCTGTCCCGAACTTATTTTTTTTACATCCAACTGTATTTACCTCGCAAGTTAAATGATGGAATGTGATTCTTTATAAACTAAATTAGAGAGCAGCTTAGCTCAGTCAGATAAGCTGGTGGTAGCCAATGTGTGTGCACTGGTGATCTCTTGGTCCTCAATTCAATTGCCATCCGCTGTTCTTGCATTTTAACTGGAGGGCTGAAATGCAAGTCACAATTGCGCACCGTCTTAACAGTAGGATGAGACGTTGAAGTCGTTGGTCTTGTGTACATAAAGCCGGGCACTCACCGCGTTATACAACGCGCCCGGCTTTATGTGGCCCTGGTGCACGTTAATGCAGTGAAATCTTCGGAGAAGAGTAAAAGCCTGTTTACACTATGACAATAATGATCAACGATAAAAAGCTAAAAAGCAATTGTTCATATATAGAAAATAAAAGAAATAAGAGAAGTTTTCACACTAGCATGATTCGATAACGATTTATCGTGAATAAAATCAAATGGCGTCATAATCATAGGAAAACAATAAAATCGTTTTTACTACTACGATTGCATTAATCATGGATCATATTCGGCTCGCACAGCATATTGTCAAGAATGTTTTAAGCACAAATGACGTTAATGATAATGACACATTCGTTATCATTTTCGTGAGGTTGCGAAATCTCCCTAAATAAGATATGCACAGTGTCAAAATGAAAGATATGCTGCACCCAATTACCATGCGCATAGATACTTGCTATTTGAAGCAAGTATCTATATATAGAAAGATATCATTGATATGAATCAAGTATATGCATTCTAACAACCAATATGCGAGGGCTATTTAAAGTGACCTTGGTACATTAGTTTCTGTCATGTGAAATGGGTATTATTCTCTTTATGAGACTTACGGTAGTTCTGCCTACACTGTCATCTGTTGTATGCCCATATATAGTCATGATGTACCAACATTATGTTCATGATGTGGTGTGCTGCATCATGACTATATTTAGGCATGTCACTTATTATTTTTGGCAAATAAAATTTGATAATCTGGAGACTTGAATTAGTTTTAGTTGCCAGCCAGATAAATCCCTGCTGTGACAGGATTTGAGACAGGAGCCTGGGATTGGAAAGCAAACACTGTGTATAGTATATGTGTGTGTGGGTGTGTGTGTGTCGCACGTGCGTTCATGTGGGTGGGTGTGTGTGTGTTCGTTCAAAATTTAAGTCTTAGAGTGCCATTTCCGGGCATCTAGAGGTGTATATAATCTAAATTTTTCTTACCTCAGCCCAAACATTGGGGCTGAATCTGCCACTGGTAGAATTGTTCAGGAATACACAAAGAAACAAGGTGATTATGGAACAGATACCAAAAAAATACGTAGTACCTGTAATAGTCTGAGAGATAAGTCGATTTAGGTCACATACAGTATTTTACCATTTGTCTTAATATGATTTTTGTATGGGAGATACCCTGGTACACCTGAAACACCAAGTCTTAAGTGATGTTAGCGATGTGCTTTCAGGTCAGAGGTCAGTGACCTACTTTTTTTAGTATATTTTAAAGGACAGCATTTTGATAACATGCCTCAAACTTATTGAAATTAGGCTCATTTCAAAGCTGATTGAACAATATGCTTTGGAAACCAATAAGACCTCTTTTACTTTGTTAAGACTCCTTGGTATCAATTTTATCTAAAAATAACAAGGCCATGTTTGTTAAAATTAGAATTTACAAGGAAACTGATGATAAGGGGCATTATTTGAAGACACTAGAAATTACAGAAAAGACATGTTCTCATTAACATTGAATCTAACAAGGAAATAAATTTTGATTTTCTTCCCAAACTGTTTTATCAAACCATCATATTTGTACATGAATATACAATTACAGTATAACAAATTTTATGGCCTGAAGAATCTCATTAAGACTATAAAGATATGGATTTGAAAAAGTAATGCGAAGGTGGTCTGTGTTGAGATAAACATTTTGAAAAGTAAAATTCAATATACTGTTTGTACTTATTTGCATAGACATCTTAAATTTGTGGAAACGTGTGATGCGGCGTGTAAGGCTTTTTAATTTAAAATGTGAAGGTCGTGTTCGAGACAGATGCTTGTTAGAAGCTGCTTGCGTTTTTGGGCAAGACCCTTTATCTGCATTTAGATTATAAATGGGTACCTGGTTGATGTTGAGTGATTTTGAATGAATGTAGTGCTGATTACAATTGATTCTGTATCCAATGACCAGGGCAAAAAGCGCTATGGGACTCCAGCATTGAGCACAATAGAGTACCACAGTCGTGTCGTCATGACGCCAGGTGGCGCTCTCTGTTGTCAACAGACGTTGGTTACCGTTCATTATGGCTGAATGACTTCATAGGCTTTCTGGAATAGGCATTTTAAAATCTAATATTTTACCATCAAAATGTACTAAAAACACAAAAGATCGCATTGTATTAGTTATCGAACACACATTTAATCATCAATTAAAATTTACAAAGAAAAAGTAAGATACAACATCTTAATAATTACGTTTGAAATTGGGATCAATGGTTTGTCAGTGGAGATAATGGCGCCTGGTTGAACGCTTTTTGCAAAGATAGCAATGGAGTAGTATCACATGGTATCGTGACGTAACATGTAGTACTCTATATTGTAAATGCAAAAATGAAATGAAATGAAGAAATGTCACTTATTTGTAACAGACAGGTTTTCAAAGATGTTACAAGAGGGGCAAATTTACTGAAAATCCTATGGTTTAAGCCAAATTCAAGATTAACTTTTGTTAGAAATGCCCTTTTTCCTGCTAATTTAAAAATGTTCGTTTCTGTCATCCAACTCTGTTTTGAATTTATTACCTCTTTTGGCGAAATAAATAAACAAAATTAAACTTGAATGGAAGGAAAAGTATAATAGAATTTTCTGACTAGAGACTGCCACAGAAATAGCAGAAATATCCAGGTACTTAGAAATCAATGTTTTATTATTTGTCTAAAATATCGAAACACATCTATATTTGTAAGAACAATAAGTCTTTAAGGGCTGTGTAAGCAAATTGATAAGCATAAATCAAACATTGAGATCATACTATTTGCCTCAAAATTTATTAAGTCAACAAAGAAAATCTTTCTGCTATAAGTTCTGAACATAGCAAATTATGAAAACAGTTATTTAAGGTGAGCCTTCTTTTATACCTTGTTAAGCGAACCGCCTACTGCAAATATTGATGATTTTGAATAAAAATAAAATTATATTTTTAGCCAATTAGCACACCCGCTGCCACAAAAAAAGTGGAAATTTCAGAAAAAAATTAAAGTTTTTCTTTATTTTTATTATGCGCCCTCCGCTGACTTGAAATCTCCGAAGATAAGATATGTATATTTCTTCCTAATTATATAAATTTGAAGCATTTAACCATCTTATTTTACATTCATGAATAAAATTTTATATTTGGTAAACTTATTTGCTAAATAAGAAAACAAAATTTTATTTTTATTCCACCCTCCTCCGATAATCTTTAAAAAAATAAGTATGCGAAACAAGGAATAAAAAAGTCTTGCCAACGTTGGTTTTGTTACAAGATTGGTGTTTGATTTATTTGATTATATGCAGTGTCAAAGCTATGTTTTTATATATTAAATTTAATTCATCATTTGGTGAGTCACAGTAATTGATATTTCTCAAGAAACAATTAAAATGCAAGCCAAGCTACGAAAGTATAATCAATCAATTAAAATAAGCAAGTAACAATAGCAGACAAAGTTATTATACAATATCAATTTTAAAATATTAATACTAAACTTTATTTATCCAAGAACACTTTTTACACTTTGGTGTTCCCATAAATGGATGTGAATAAATATGTCAACAAAATAATTTTAATTAATTATAAATATAACAAACAGGTAGTCAACGTGTTAAAACCTGTCTCTTATACACATCTAGATGTGTATAAGAGACAGCTTTTATACCTTGTTAAGCGAACCCACCTACTGCAAATATTGATGATTTTGAATAAAAATAAAATTATATTTTTAGCCAATTAGCACACCCGCTGCCACAAAAAAGTGGAAATTTCAGAAAAAATGAAAGTTTTTCTTTATTTTTATTATGCGCCCTCCGCTGACTTGAAATCTCCAAAGATAAGATATATATATTTCTTCCTAATTATATAACTTTGAAGCATTTAATCATCTTATTTTACATTCATGAATAAAATTTTATATTTGGTAAACTTATTTGTTAAGCTGTGTTTTTAATATTAAATTTAATTCATCATTTGGTGAGTCACAATAATTGATATTTCTCAAGAAACAACTAAAATGCAAGCCAAGCTACGAAAGTATAATCAATCAGTTAAAATAAGCAAGTAACAATAGCAGACAAAGTTATTATACAATATCAATTTTAAAATATTAATACTAAACTTTATTTATCCAAGAACACTTTTTACACTTTGGTGTTCCCATAAATGGATGTGAATAAATATGTCAACAAAATAATTTTAATTAATTATAAATATAACAAGTACAAGTAAAAGAATACAAGGACTTCGGCTTAGGGTGGGGGTTGCATCAAATTGGTTCCAAAAAAAGAAATACTAAAAATAACCATTAACTTTTCATTGGAATAGGAATTTAGTTTCACATTCGCATTTTCCAGACCTTCCTCCTCCCACAAAGGCCAAAACCAGCCTGTGCCCCTGAAGAAATCTTATTTCCATAGGTAAGTAAGTTATACCCTATCAGCACAGCCAATTTAATGCTTTTTAAACTACAGTATATTTTACATCCAAAATAAATAATATTATTGAAGTATCCAAACTTAATATAGTACAAAACAAAGATATAGACGTAGATATCAAAATACTTATTTCTCATATCAATAAAATACAATACTGTACAGTAGAAACATTTTCAGGTTAGCAGGTTGACTGCCAGGGACGATTATACCCGTCAAAATCAGGGTAACATTCTAGCGTTTATAACTTATTTGTTATACATTGTAGAACCACAGACTCAACAGTTTGGGGAAGATACACCTAGACGATAACATACAAATGACGTATGTATGTTTGTTGTGTTATGTTGTTGGTAGTACACTCGAGCGGCACAAGTGTGGGCGCTCTTGGAACACATACCAACACATGCAAAAAGCGGACGAGATAACTTGCACTTGGCACAGTCAATAAAAAGTGCTATCACAGTGCCGTCGGCGAGTTTACTCATCCCCTAATATTTTCCCACCAATTTATTACACACATCATTTTGATGATGACTTGATAATAAAATTTCAAAAAAGTATGTTTGTACATTCAGTTCAATTCAATATAAATTTATTGCAAAACAAATATGGGTTTTGAAATGTACAATCAGAATAAGGAGAAGACACATAAAAAACGTCAATAATAAAAACAGTAAAATCCTAACATAGTGACAAATAAAAATCACATAAGGTAAATCCCACAAAAGGACACAAAAATTATTATTAAAATTACTATTATTATTATTATTATTATTATATCAATTATTTAATATTAATATTACTATTGCAATTATTTCCATTATTCACTAAACCATTACAAGACGAACATATACAGTACATTAAATGAAAAAATTAAAAAACAGATTGCAAAATTGAGCCCAAACAAGGTCTTGCGCACTGCTACAATGGAGGATATATATTAGGATAGGAAATTTACATAATTTATTTCTTCCATAGTATACCAATCCTTAGTTCTACCAGTTATTGAAATCTCCAATATTTGTAGTAAAGTTTTTATAACATGTAAACTTGTTTTGGCACACAGGTAGTCAACGTGTTAAAACAATTATGAATAATGATCTGTATTATGATCACATATTGCAATTATTGTAATCAATATTATGATCAACTAGAGAACATTACTATCAAAACATTTAGTCATAATTGTTGTTATTGCTGGTATAAAGAAAGTTATTGGTGTCAAAGGTCACTGAAACCAGACATGCACTGTAAAACCCTGTCTAGACTATTTCATATTTGACAAAAAAGTGACATGCCTAAATATGGTCATGGTGACATCACATCATGAACATATATAGGCATACCATGACTATATGGGCATACAGCAGTTTTCTGTGAAAGAAAATTTGATAGTGTGGACAGATCTTAAGATTGATGAAATAGACATTCCTCATCCAAAAACTGTGGTCAGACATAATGTTTTAATTTTTTTTAATCAAATATATCTGAAAACACTATTTGATATTGAATGTTCAAACAACCTCGTTGATTCTATAAAGAATGTTGATACTATTGTATATCTGATTTTGGCAAGCCCTATTAGTATTAATTTACCGTATTAATAATTTGACGTTAAAAATAAGATCTTAAAGATTCAAATAAGCAAACCATTGCCCAGACCCGACAAAACAGTGATTATGGTACATTTTCTTAGTTGGTACGCTATCGCTTATCAGTTACCGGTATACAAAACCGTGGTTATGGTACATTTTTTTAGTTGGTATGCTATCACTTTATCAGATACCGGTGTGTTTGAAATGTATGCATAAAATGTTAACCTGCCGTAGAATCCGTGTGTCGGAAGCTATCATTTATACTACTAAAATTAGCCCAGTTGCATTTCATTGTCTGTAGGTAGGCTTGTTGGAATGCTCTATTCCTCCGTGCATAAATGAACGGATTAATCATAGAATTAGCAAGTGCTAGAATGCCTACCACTCTCCAAAGAAACACTGGAGTAGTCCCATGCATATCAGCAATCGACAAAACCATAATCGGGGCCCAGCATACTACAAAAATTAACGATACGAGAAGAAGGTTCTTTGCCATTTTGACGTCTGTGCGATGAAACAGTTGTTTTTTTTTCCTCTCTGTGGGTAACTGGCTCTTGGTCTTTTTTGAGCTTGTGCGTACCAACTTAAATATCTTGTAATAGCAGAAACATGTGATAAGTCCAGTAAAGCCGAAGTAAATACTTAAAATACTTGCCATGTACAGCCAAGAATCATGTGAACTTGAAATATTACACGACATGAGGTTTGTATTTAGATCATAACTACCGAATCCAAAGAGAGGCGGTAGGACAGATACGAGTGCGAGAATCCATGTTGAACAGCAAAACAATATCGTATTTTTTTCTGAGAATGTGCGTTTGTAGTGATGTGACCATACAATGCACATGTAGCGATTAATGGCAATAGCGGCCAAATTCATTAACGACGCGCCGCAACTCCACGCTGTTAAGAACCCAATGAATTTGCAAATATCGTTCTCTAATGGCCACCCTTGATAAATGATAGTGGTTACATAAAATGGGTTTACAATAACGCATACAATCAGATCAGCTACAGCAAGATTGGCGATGAAGAAATTAGTTGGCTTTGATAGTTTCTTCACGCGCACAACAACAAATATTGTAAGGCCATTCCCGATGAAACCAATTACAGTAAACACCAATAGGAAAGCAATATGAAATGATGAACCAATTTTTTCAAGTTTAGTTAAATCACTGATCATTTTGAAAGTTGATTGCTCCAACACTTCTTTTTGTCCTATAAGGAAATACAAAAAATAGTCAATATGTTTTCCAACAAACAACAGGTAATAATAATAATCAATGGAGGCTTCTATTTTGTTAATGTAAACTGCACAGAGCACTACGTTGTACAGTTGAACTTGCCTAAGTCAAATAATTTCTAAGTCGATCTGATTTTACATGAAAATTGTTGTGTTTTCATTTATTTAACAATTCTAAGTTGAACAATACTTCAATGGCGTTTTGGATTCGACTTAGGCAAGTTCAATTGTATACGATCTTTGACAATTATCTACTCAGACAGCCACAGGTAGTTAGCATATGGTAAGTGCTCACAGAGTCCATTAGCACAGTGTGTGGCTGCCTCTGGACAGCTTTCTACTGTGCCATGGTTTTTAAATTTGTGTAAATTCATTAAAATTGTTTTTTAAAGATAACTGTCTGTGTTTAAACATAAACTTTGAAATGATAGGCAATATTTGAATTGATATAGGCGATTAAAAATATATGACTCAGGACTGACTTTCTTCAAATTTTCTCTTACAATTTGATGATGTTATGCTATTTCATTTTAAAATTTTCAAATCATACATTATATTGTTTTTTGGGGGGTTTTTTTGCATCTGTTTTCTTGTGTGTGGTATCTTTGTATTGTAATGTTTTTATGATGAGATGAATAAAATGAATAAAACAAATATTGTTATACTTGTTTTCAACAGTATAGTGAATTCTGACTTTTATCAACTAATATAGCTACTTCAGTTTTAACCTACTCAAGTTTGTATATTAATATTAGTTTTCGTAGTTCTAGGTATAAAAACACTAACCTACAATTGATTGCCGTGATATGGTGATTGAATTGGCCTTTTGCACACAAACCTAAAAAAGATGATAGGAAAATAACATGGGAGTTGCAGTGATGATGTCATGATTGACTTGTAATGTAAGTTATTAGCTTTCAATTGGAAATTCAGTGGAGTAAATACTTTCCTTGCTAATTAAGAAACACATTAAATGTTTCAACTTTTAGACTAACAAAAATATATATTTTTAGCCAGTAGGTCGACAGAGTTTGAGATAACTAGCATTGGTGTGTGGGTGTTTCTAGGAAACGTTCTTCCAAAGAATAATTTTTGTGATTCGTGCCAAAGAACCGTTTTCAAGGTAGGAATCAATTTCATGGCCAGCAGGCCTTGACGCAGGTTTAGTTTTTATCTTTGTAGTCTGACTATCAACCAATGATAAGAGAACCAGTTCAATATCAATTTTCAATGTATATACATCTTATGAAACTAACCCCATATGTGGCAAAGACTAGCCAAACCAGTCACTCCTCTCAAAAATTGATTTTTACTTATTAATAGTAATACAGGGTTAAAAAGTAAAATGAGAGCGGTAAAATAGTAAAAGTATAATTTAAATCCAACATTTCGTTATGAAGTTAGTGGAGTTTGGAAAATATTATTTGGAAAATCAGCCTTCAAAGCTTGCAATTTCTGGCATTTCTCAGGTAGAACCCCTTACCAATTCCTTAATAAAAATTGTTGTTTTAACATTGAAAATGGGGAAAATAACAGCATACTGTAGCACATAGCATGATGTACTGTGTAGATATATAAAGTTTAGTTTAGTGCAGGGGTGGGCATAAAAATCGGTCGGAGGGCCAAAGTGAATTTCTGATTTAATACCGAGGGCCGCACCCAAACTTTGATCTTTACAGTGCGCTTCCAAAAACCTCCAAGCACTGCTTTTATACCACTTTATTTCTAGTTTTAATATTAATTTTTACATATGATCGGTGTCGGGCCGTAAAAAACAAGATGTTTTCTGGCCAATGTTGCTTGGTGTGCCACATACATAGGGTTTTAAATTCACATTCGCGGGCTGCAAAAAAATTTGCTTTCGGGCCGCACTTTGCCCACCTGCGGTTTAGTGCAATAAAATAGATTTTTAAAATGTTGACACTCCAGGATATTTCGGCAATTATCTCTGAAATACAATTTGTGACGAGTGACTGGTTTGACTTGTCTTTGCCACATATAAGGGACACAACATTGTGATTCCATATTCCAAGCTTTAATTTGACCATACACCTGATGAAGCCCATCATTTGGGCTACTTTTAGAGGCACTGAGGAGTACCCATCAAGATCCAGATACTTTTATACAACTTTTGCATTAAATATCATTCCTATATTATTTGCATAAATGAATTAGCAGGTCATTGCTTAAGAACTAGAAAATTGATATAATTGCCCTATGAAACTACTGTAGTCCCATAAAAAATAATACAATTGTGATATGAGGTAAATTTCTTATTTCTATGCTTTGCATATAGCCTTAAATTTGCTAGTAATTAATTTTAAGAATTTTTGTAGAAACGTTCTGTAAATCGGCAAAAAAAATGTTATTTTTGATCTGTTTATAATTGGAAGTGAATACTGTAATTTATCTCTTTTAAATAAGCTACTTAGTGTTTTAAATAATTTTATTTTTCATTTCACTGAAATGTTTAAATATGTTTTTCTGACTATAGTTGTTTGAAACAAGGAAATTAATAGTTTTTTTGTACTGTTTTTAATTTTAAAATTATTAGATTGAATTGCTAAGAATTTGGCCTTACATTTGTTATATGAGGTATGTTGTGGCGAAATTGTTAAGTTGTCGCACAGGCCAGTATTGAGTAAATGAGCTATAAATTATGAGAGCCTAAAAATCCAAATTTGTTTTTCATTATAGATCAATAATTTAATGTCTTATTAATCATGTACCAAAGTATTAGTTCTGGAAGTGGTCAACAAATTGTTTATTTAATGTTAATTTGATTGTTGAACTTTGAAAGGCATTTACTCAAAATCATGTTTATCTTGATTTTAAGAATGCTGTACATTCACTATCCAATAACTTAGGCTTGAAATGTCCAATTTCAATGAAAGACCCCTCATTTTAAAGATCATATACTCAGGTATCTGAAAATACCAATAACTTGAATTTCAATTTTTGCTACAACATGCCTCATATTACAGTAATCTTCGTACTGTAAACTTTGAAAGGGGCCTGTTTTATATGCCGGTGCAAGCTACTAAAGAAACAGCTATTTTTTGACTTTATCAATACTGTATATAAAATAAAAAGTACTAACCTTTTAAAATATTTTAAATCTTGTTGCTTCTAGTGCTCAAAATAAAAGAGAATGTAGTTTTCCTTTTAGTTCTGGTGTGACATTCACAAGTTTCTCATCACACATATACTGTTACAGTGACTAAAAAGAACAATGAGAAAAAACATATTGCAATGTGACGTACATAAAATATATTGGTTTCCTGATGATTGCCAATGAAATCAATAGAAATTTAGTAAAGGGTACTTCTTATTGTACTTCCTGGAATGTACTACAATGAAGATATATATGAAACAGGGCTTTTGTACACTACCTTTTAGGTATTATTTTATATTGCCGGTTATTAAGTGGTCTTTTTTGTTAACAAAATTTAACGATCCTCAAAATACAGTATATACAATCCACAGAATGCATTAATTTTTATATGCACTGACTATTAAAATAAACAAGTTGTAGCTAGAATAAGAACATAATTTTTTATGATTCTAGGCCTGATAAACTATAACATTGCAAAGATTTCGAGTATTTCGATAAAAAGTTGGGTTTAATAAAATAAAGCTTGAGATTAGTGGAAAAGCGTGAGATTTTAAGTGAGTGGCTTGAGAGCTTGAGGTTTGGTCGAAAAGTGTGAGGCTCACGTCTGATGTGTGAGACTTGGTAGGTATGTTGTTGCTACATACATGGACTTAACAGCTGCGTATGATCACATGCCACATGATCTTCTCTTCAAAGTAATACTTCTGAGAACTGGAGCAAAACACATGTCTACAGGCTATGTATCAAGGATCAACCCCATACATTGTAGGGATGAAATCTTACTTTGATATCAAGAATATCCGTGCCTCTTTAATTTCTATTTTGACTTCGTCTTAAGAGTTGCTGCCTCTGAAATTGACAAAGTTTTTCCAGATGGATGGGATATTAACTTTCATTTGACATTCCAAATGTTTTGTACCAACCGGCTTCAGCATAGAATGAGCGGTAGACCTAGAGGAATTGAAATTACAAGATGGATTCTTTTTTGCAGGTGACGTCATATTCTCAAAAGAGGCTAATAAAGCTCAGACAATCCTGTCTATAATTTTTACAACATGCAAACATTTTGGATTGAATGTGTCATTAAAGAAAACCAAAATACAAATTTTTCAGGGGGCAAAGGAGACAATTCTAAAAATCGGCCAAGAGTATATAGAAAATGTGAGAGATTTTGTGTACCTCAGCCATACTATAACTCAGAACTGATTGTTGTTACGTATTTCATCAGCTATGTTAAAATTTCAGGAACTCAAGAATGATCTTAATGACAGTAAAGTAAATATGGTAAACCAGAAGGAGGATTTTTGAGGCATGTGTAAAAGTGAGGTTTTGTATGAAACGCAGGCATGGTACCTGTTGGAAGAAGAGTTAAAGAAACTGGAATCATGTTGAGAAATCTCAATGTTGAGAAGAATGGTTAGAGGAGGTTTTCAAAGGAAGAAAGATATCATTGAGCAACAAGAAAGCAATACACAAGAGTACAGTCTCATCTATCACAATACTGACATTGAAACTACTGTATTATTGGTTCAGTTTCACTACGCAACTTTTTAAATGTGCAATGCCTAAGATTTTTTGGATACAGTGTAGGGGACCAAATACATCCATAACGAAAAGAATGATGTTTGCTACATCAGATAAACCATACTGCAGAGACCCATGGATTAAAATTGGAAAATGCTAGGAATAGATGCTGACTAGGCAAAAGCATCTGCTCAACTCAGTCAAGGGAAACTTTCAACAGTTTTCTAGAAACAGTTTTTCTTGGATGCTAGAGAATTGACTCTAAAGCATGCATGATGTTAGATGGAGGAACACCTATAGTTTAAAAATAAGTAAGTAAGAGTTTAGTGGGGACTGATGGTTTTATGTACTATACATGATAAGTGGTAAAGTGCCGCATTTAAAGCAGTCTTCGTTGCATAGGCCTTTAGTAAGCAAGTACAAATTTTAAATAAAACAATAAAGCATATTTTCATGCCAAAAATATTTTTCAGTGTCGCTGGACGTTTAATGCTGTCGGTGACTGGTAATAGAACTTTTCATGTCTTCCTTTGTTTGTGCAAGTGTAACTGTGCGCGAAGTATTGTTTTCTGAATTGGGCTTTTTCCCCCATCAGAGTAAAACTAGATATTTTTTTTGTCATATTGACCTTGCCTCTTATGCCTTGTTACCTGCTTGAACTCCCTGGTAATAGTAATCCTGTAGGAGTATTTTCAAACCAAACATGAAGGTGCAGGCATATTCTTATTTTTTTTTATCAGCCATACATTTTTGTTCAGCTTAATAGTTTGGCAGGCAATCGATTTTTCTGTGTGATGGGGTGGGGGGTGGGTCACCCCTATTTCACATTTGCCCAGTGTTGTGATTTCACCTTTACTTTATTGAAAAAATATTCATCGAATGGTTATTCATTTTAGTTCTTTAAGTATATTTTTTTATAATTGAATTTTTTCTCGCGGGCCAGAATAATTTGCTTGGCGTGCCAAATTTGGTCTGCGGACTGCCTTTTAAGAACTCAGGGCACTATGCTATTTAACTCCACTCCCTTTGAAAAATATATGTTGTCCATTGCTATAGCCAAGATTTTCAAACAGTGCGGGACAATATCAGGGTGGACCCACTTTACACGTAAATTCAAATAATTTGGACCCAGTTTGTTAAAAGTTTACCCATTTTATGTAAAAATATGAAAAACCTGAACCCATTTTCTTAAAATTGTACCCATTTTAGGCTAAATATGAGAAATCTGGACCCATTTTTTCAGAAAGTGGATTTATTTTGTGCATGGAAATTGCATAATTTGCACCCATCTTAAAAAATGTGGACCCATTCTTTGTGGACCCATCAGAAATATTGTGTGGGACTGTCCCAACCGTCCCAATAGCTGGCTACGGCATTGATGTTGTCCCACAAACACACATGTTGTCCCACTAATGCACATCCACATTTAGAGAAAGGTATACAGATCAAGGTTCTAGTGTAAAGAAAGGTTTCTATTTATGTTTCTAAACTGTATACACCACTATCTTTCTCTTTTTATATGACTGGTATTCTTCAAAATGATCAAAAAATTGGAAGCATTGAATCCGAAAATGACTCAATCTTTATTTTGTCTTTTTGTTTAATTTAAAACTACTACTTTACATAATTAGTGGAATCCCTGTTTTGTTTTTTTCTTTTATATGTATATTTTTTATTCTTCTTTCTGAGCCAGAACAAATTACTACCTATGTTTCATGGACAATAAAGTTATCTTATCTATTATTGTATATTTGCATAAATAGGTACCGGCATTATGAAGGCAAAATACTAAAACTTGTATTTAGTAACAACCATTACATTTTATTTTATTTATTTGTTATTAGAAGTGTATAGCAGGTCTCTATGCCTTAAGGTTACCCTGATCATTCACAAGTTCAGTGGTGAAACCAAGAGACAGCCTACTGTAGATAGTTTATGATTGTGGACAACATCCTTTTAAGCAACATCCAGACTATTATATTTTATTTGACAAAAACATGTGACATGCCTAAATATGGTCGTGATGACATCATATTCATGACCATATATACGCACATCATGATTATATTTGGGCATAGAACAGTTGTTTTTTTTTCAAAGAAAATTTTATAGGGACAGAGCTATTGACCATCAGAGTAACATTGGTTGGATTGGTAGATTAATATTTTCAGTCCAGTGACCCTCAAGTGGTGTCCATTGACAGTGGTTTCATGCCTGTTTGACATGCAACATTTACTATCATCCCCCTATGGATGCAATCTCTTCTGCTCCCTAGAAAATAGAGTGGTGCATATATTTTCGCACCAGTCCAATTTTATCAGCTGAGGATTGTACAACTAGGAGCTAGGGGACCATCTGGTCAGAACCATGTAAGCAGTGGCAGAGCCAATGGGAGGGGTCCCTATTGGGCAGGTCAAGGCCCCCCTCCCACCGGCCAAATCTCATCAGGCAGTCGGACCAAAAAAAAAAAAAAAAATAAGTAGACTTAATTAAATGAAATGCGTGTTTATTGAGTTGAGTTTGAGAGTATAGTAACTTGGATTTTGTCAACTTTACAGTTCAAAGTATTTTTCAAGTCTGAGAGTGCCATTTCCAGCTATCCAGAGGTCCCTATATTTTTTTTAAATGTCATTATGGATCGGCACGATCAAAAGGCCCTCTGACGGTGATGCGCGCCAAAGTTATCTTTATTTCACTCACCCCTCACCCCCCCCCCCCCCCCCCCCCAGAAAATATATCCTACAGCTACCAGGGCAGGACAAATTCAGGGGAATGAGCCATTGGAGTAAATGTTCCTCAAATCTAGTTGCCCTGAGACCCTTCCCCTAATTTTTGTAAACATTGGAATAAATAAAAAATGAAATTCAAATTTAAATACATTATGACAGTTTCATTTCCAGCCGTCTAGAGGTGCTGAATTTATGTGCCACAGCAAAACTGCTAAATTCAGGTTTAAAAACCGATATTTTGATTGAAAGCTGAAAGCCACTACACTGCATACAGTACTCCAATAACTGCGACCAGCTTCTAAAATAATGAAGAATGCTCCTAAATACAATTCAACTTGAATTTAAAAACCCATCAAATTCCAAGAGACTTCTATTTCAAGACCACTTTTTCAAAGTACCAAATAACAATCCTTAAAGCTTACCTTCCAATTTTTGAGACCAAACCCCGAGATCACCCCAATTTTCGAAAAGTCGTCTCAAATTAGAGGGTGTACTGTACCCGCCTTCAAGAGTTCCTACTTGCTTCAAAAGGTGTAGGACATTTGTACCATTTTAAAGTCTTCCTAGAGATTAGCAGTCAAAAGTTCACAACTGCATGCTATCTGGCTTCTAAATAGTGAATGTGTCGTCGTCTCTTAAGGTTACATACGCTATACCAACCAGGGTCTTAGTTTTGGTTTTGTGCGGTTAGCAAAGAATAAGTATTGTATTTTTATTTCAGTAATTGTTACTAAGTGTAAATACATGACTCACTATATAACAAAGGATTTTTTTTTTTCGTTTATTGGGTTTTTAGTTTTGATTTTGTTCTAGCTATAACTCAAACAGTTATGTTTAATTTATGAATTGGCTTTTCTTTCTTTTACCCATACAATTTTTTTGTTTGTTTAAAGTAGGTCATTCTGTGGGTCGCCTGTAAATGGGTTACTATGGTTATCGTATCTGAACTTCGTCAGCTCCATCAAAAAGTGGAAAACCACAGCAACTTGAATGTTACTGCACTCTGCTCTGCTTGTAAATTATTGGCCTTAAGTTTATGTATTTATTTTTTGGTGCACATAGAAATAATGATCCTTTATAAATTGATTGAATTATGTACTTATGAAGTCTTGTCGAACAAGAAAAAAAATCAGTAAAATTAGTTTTACAACTTGTTGGTAATTAAAAGCCAATGAAAAAATGATTGAATCAGTGGTTTTAATCTGAAAAAAAAAAAACATTCTATGCAATTGAGTTGTTAGTGGGGACTTCCCCACAAAAACTAGTTTGCTGAGTAGTATATCCTAGTGAAACCAATTTTAAGGCATGTGCAGTGGAGGTGTCCGCGAGACTCGCAGATCACTATTAGTAGATGGTAGTTTATAGATAAATAAAATCTCACAGATTTCTCACAATTTTTTCTATAGAACATACCATAAAGTTAGTTGATAGAACATATAAAATCAACAGTAGCTGGCCTGGATTTCATATAGACATTAGATCTTTGATTTCCATTTTAAGAAAAAATATGTATCCTTCTAATTTAATTGACAAAATTATTTCAAAATATCTAGTTTCTGTATTTTCAATTAAATGGAATAATTCAAATAATGACTCAAAACATTCACTATTTTAAATTACTGTATAATGGTTCATTTAGCAAGAAAATTTACTGATTTACTAAAGAATTTTGCACTGATGTAGATTAATTTAATTTTTACATCATTTAAAATTCAATGTCTATTTTCAAATCCTCTTCCTGTTAATGTTTGTTTGCATAATATACAGATTTATTTGCGGAAGCTGTAATGCTTCCTATATCAACGAAAGTGGTCTCCATTTTAAAACATGCCTTAACAAACATTTAAAAATGGAAAAAAAGTAGCATATTTGTAAGCACTTAAATAGTTCCCATACAAAAAAGTAAGGATGTTTGCAACAAGGGCTGTTTCAAAACAATATATTGCAAACGGTTACAACATACTGTATAATAGAACTTCTGACTCATTTGCTCATCTTTATTCATGCATTTCTTCTCCTGTATGGTTCAATTCTTTCAAATTCAATGTTCCACCTTCCATTTATTCTCATGTATTCCTTATCTTTTCTTTCATATGCTTCAGTTACCATATTTATCATGAAATTTCATTGCATTTGTTCACTCCTATAAATTCTAGAATTTGCTTCTAAGATGCAAGTTTGGTTTATTTTGAAATTTTATAATGAAACAGTTAGGCCTACCCTAAATGGCCTCATTGAAATCAGTTGTGATTTTATTCAAAAATAAATACAGCGCAACCTCTAATTCAAGACCCCTCTAATTCCGAGACCTTTGGAGACCAACTAAGAGACCACCCCAAATTTTCAGGTCCCAAAAGTGGTCTTGGAATTAGGGAAGGGGGGCAACTGTACTTTAATCCTTTTTTATATAAGCTTTACTATTTTTTAAAATTTACATCATAGCGTATCATGATTTCCAACATTATGCAAAGGCACAATCTAATATATATAGTCTTTGCAACTGAACCATAATGATGCATCATATTCTAATGTATTCAGTTATTATAAAGTAGATTGTTCACAATTAATCAAAATATGAAAAATGCCAGAATGTTTGATCCTTCCACCACCCCCCCCCCACTCATGGCATACACAGGATGTACAGTATGGCAGCTCCTTGACCCCCTGAGGAAATTTAAGGATCTGAAATATCACAGATATCATAGCTTTAAATTTGTCAAATGATGTAGAAAAATCTTATTCTGTTATTTTATTTTAATTGAATACAAATAAATAAAATAAAATAATAGCAATATTATTATTAATAAAAATATTAATAACAACAATAATGGTAAGAACACAAGCTGAAGAAAGTTTATACGGTAGGCCACACCAAATTATATATTACACTAGTCATCCTCAAGAATATTTTAATTTACTGTATTAATTTTGGAAATAAAAACCAGTCACAAGTTAAAAATGTCGCGGCATTTTTTTTATAGGAAATATTTCTTATTGTGTTTCATTTTTGTTTTTTTTTATGTTAAATTTCAGTTTCAATTAACTGATGTTACAGTTTATATGTTTTTGTTCAATAGATGTATTTTTATTTTACCACTTTGCAACCTTTTGAACTTCTGTCTTGTGTTTAGCTCTTTATTGTTAATTGGCCCCTAGATGATAACTTGTATTGTTTTTTTAAGAAAAACAAATTACAGGCCTTTGTGAAACTCCATCAAACCAATTGTAAGGAGGTCACGGCATTATAAATAGAATTGTACATTTAGGCCAATGCCAGGCCTACACACGCAATACTCATTATTTATGAGTTATCCAAATTCTATGATTTTTGCCTTGTGAAAGTGTAAAAAAAAACAAAAAGGATGTTGGCGGGGATGAGATACATTGGGTTTTTTTGAAGTAAAGGAGCCAGCTGCACAGGTAATACCTCTATGGCCCCAGATTACTCAAAATGAAGGTTCGTCTATATACAGAGTACACTACACCCAAAGTTTTTTCTTTGTTTCTGCAAAATATAATTTTTTAACTCATCTCTTACTGTAGAATGCAGGCCCACTGACAGTTGTATCACTAGCACTATCTAAGTTCAGCTTCTTGCAGTTAGATAACACTTTTAATACTTATTCAAGCTTCAAGGAGCTTGATCATAAAATTATATTACATAGCCTATGTAAATACGAGTATGTGATTGGTCGAAATGGCATCATGTGACTAGCGCTATGAAGATCGGAAACGTTATATTTCCCCGTAGGGAAATATAACTTTGAAAAGTGACCGGTCTCTGACGTCACCGGATTACACCCGCATTGCGCCCGTAGTGAAGATGCTAGTCGAGCGCACGATCGATCGCTCACGAATTGTGAATGTGTAAGCCTAGCACTTCGAAAATGGCGACTTCAAATAGGCCTAAGTTTAAATCTCTCGACGAAGACAAATTGGATAGAGTTATTGTACAAAATTTGTTGTGAATTCATCCGTTAATGTAGGTCTACTCAGTGAATATTGTAAGGCCAAGGAATCATCAATTAGGTCTAGGCTAGGCCTACTTGCATTGAAAATTTCATAGCAACGGAGCCCAATGCGTTTCTCCGGTCAATCTTCGCTGAGGTTAGGAGAGCAAACTGTGAATTGTATGCTAAACGATCAATGATAACGCTACGCTACGGACTACAGAAACATTTTTAAAAAGTGACGGTAATATGAAGTATTTTGGCTATGTATATAACAGATATTGTGTAAAAGTTAAATAAAAGTTCTTGATATTTTAATTAATGTGTTCAGTTAAATACTTGCATCTATTTTTGGCTGTGTAATATAAACAGATATTGCCTTTTCTATCGGTGTAATAATAACATTTGATATCCCCTTGGGAATTATATTTTTTTCTCAGGACTATATTTTCCTCGAAAAAAATATAATTCCCTTGGGGATATCAAATGTTATATTACACCTCTAAGCAGGCAATATCTGTATAATATTGGTTTTAAATATAATGGAAAAGGTTTCCAGTAAGTGAGAGATACAATATGTCCATCAATCCAATGATATATTATATAAAAAGAATAGTTATTATGCAGTGATTCATAATGCTGTCCTTGTCTTTTTCATAGTTTAATCTTTTCCCAATGACAATTATGGGCCTTGAACAAGGTATTAGTTAGTCTATAATAAATTAACAAAGAAAACAGGTACACAGTGAAAAGTTCATTCAAGTTCAAGTTATAAAGTGGCTTTTATTAAGTGGTTTAAAAATTTAACCTTTATACTGCACAAACAGGAACCTTTTTCTTTTTTTCTAGGCTTGTTAATTTATAACAATTTTATACAAATAATAGACCGAATCAGCGGCTGGGGTCATGTGACTTACAGTGGGTATTGGGGCTTGTTTAAATCTATCGAGATCGCGAGACGACAGTGCATTGAATATGGTTCGCCTTGTTGATGTAAAGTTACATCATAGATGTTGCAAATGGTGGTTGGAATGCGACTTTACAATTCAAAGTGTTCCAAAATTAAATTTTCAAACACTTACCAGTTTGGTTTTTTAAGGTTCCAATGGATAGTGGGAATAAAGCCTGGAAGTTTTTCAAGGAAAGTTACGGTACCTTCACGAAGTATTGCTCCAGTGAGTCATCACCTGTTGAGGTACTTTATAGGCCTAGGCCTAGTCAAGAATATTATTCATGGCATTAAAAAAAAAAAAAAAAAAACGAATCTCCCCATTCGTAGCAAGAGTATTATTTTACAGTTATTTTAAATCCAAAATTAAATCATAGGAAAGATGTTTGTAGTGCCAAGGATAATGATCATCATATGACATAACAATATTATTATTACATACTAGCTTTACAGGGGCGGATCCAGCATTTCTGAGCCAGGGGGGCGCGAAGCGTCCATCGAGGACCGTAGGTCCAAGGGGGAGGATTTGGGAGGAGCAGTGGCAGGGGAAGGGGAGGGCTTAAGTCCCCCACCGGACAGGTCAACCCCCCTCCGCCAGACAGAGCTCGTCAGGCAGTCAGACCATAAAACATAAAAATAGGCCCACACCAAGCCAACACATGTCTGTCACAGTCTGAGAGTGCCATTTTCAGCCATCTAGAG